GTTGAGTAAATCAACTGCTAATCCAGGATTTTGATATGGCTAATTAAGATGTTAAGCCCTGTTTTGTATTTGTCTAATTCATATATTAATCATAACTTTTAGGTAAATAATTCAGCTGTAATCCTGAATTGTTATCTGACTATTTTGGCTGTTAATCCTTGACTTCAAAAGAACTAATTCAGCATTTAATCCAACAATTGTACTTTTTTAAAATTCCTTACTTTAGCTACACTGATTATTTTCAGGTTTTTTCGTCACTTTTAGGTGACTACTTAAAATGTTAATTCCTGTTTTTTTAACAGCCAAATGTAGTTGGCAGTCTTTGGCTTTCATTGGATTACTTTAGCTGTTAATCCAAGGATTTACAATGATTAATCTAGTCAACTTTAAACTGTTTATTCACTGTTTTAGCTACACCTTTTTGTGTGTTGCTTCAGGTTACCTAGCTCCTCTATATTGGCTTTTACATACTTCCCTGGCACCTGCAAAAGTACCGCTGGCCTGGGATAACTAGTCTAATTAACAGGAACTGAAGTTTTTTACATCTGAATTTGAGTCAGGTTTCAGACATCTGTTCATTATTAAAGATAAAAACCATTATAAGGGTTAAAATTTATTTTAAGTCTGTGTGGTTTAACAGGTGGCATTTGTTTGCTAGGTTAATATCAATATCGGGCGTTATGCAGCTCTGTGTCTCTTGTCAGAACAGTGTAAGGTTGCAAAGTGCTCTACAGCTGCAACGATAGAGCCAGCTTTTTCACGAAAGCTCACCACATCCTTCACTTTGTAACCACAAACAAGTGAAGGTTTTATTCACGTTGGTGGGAAAATAAAATAACCAGCTGTGATGATAACTGCTGTCATGGGATTCAGATCCTTAACATTAGATCCACGTTTTAGAGCTCCTTCATTGGAGAATTGCATTTTCTCTAATACTGCGTCGACCCCTGTCTTCTCATCCTTTCTGTATACGTTTAAATAAACTGCAGGGAATGGAGAAGTGGCGTCTGTGTCTCTCCATAATGTAAAAATGGACGACAAATGAAGTTTTCCAGTTCCTGTTTACTCCTTACATGTCATTCCCTCGTCCTTCCTTTCCATGTCCTATAAATTACGAGCTGTGTATAAGTATACCAGAGCCCAAGATGGTGATTTCAAATGTCTCATAAGAAATATTGAGTTCATTAGCACAAAAGGCTAAAAATACTTCGGCACTACAAGACTGAATGGTTCGTTCCAGGCAGAGGGTGCACACTGAAACCTATTATACAATAAAATGCGTATCATTAGAGTTTCTCTTGTAGTCCAAACATAAGTATATGGTGATCGAAGCATAATAACTAACATTTGCATTTACAACAGCTTGAGCTCTTGTGGCTTCCGACAGACACATACCACACTATCAGTTTAAATAAAATGCTGTTATCTGATTTGCATGTTCAAGTTTCACTGCGGTCAGCTGTATTTTTACAACCTGTAAATCATAACTTGTGTTGGTGTTTGTCTTCATCCCTGCAGAAAAAGCCCTTTGCCACTTCTTCTTCACGTTCTTCTAAACCTCCCTGAAACTTCTTCCGACCTCAATGGAAGCCTCAGGAAAGTATGACTTTATCGCAACAGAGGACGAGGAGCTCAGCTTCAGAAAGGGTGATTTACTAAAGGTCAGTATATGATTAGATAATGAAGGCATGTTTTCCATTTCCCCCGGCTTGACACGTTTTGTTTTTGCTTTTGAACAGATTATAAAAGTTGAAGGTGATTGGTGTAAGGCGGAGATGAACGGACGGGAAGGATATGTACCACATAACTACATCGATTTCCAGATTCCGGGGTAAGAGAGGGACCTACAGCCTTGAACTACAAACAGATATCTTTTGAAAATCCAATGGATGTGTAAAAATCGTTTCTTTGTGGGGGTCTTGAACTGAGGCGTGAGCTGCAAATTGACTCACGATGCCAATGCTTTTACCCTTTGAGTGGAAAATCGTCAGTGTGTGCGCACTGACACAAAACAACAGAGGCGGAGCGAGAGGCCTGGTGGAAAAGAAGTGAAAATACAGTTAAAATCAGTGTCGAGAAACACAAATTAATTCAGTTAAGTGTCATAATTTTTGCACAAACTGCTGTGAGAGCTTGTAGTAGGGTTAGACTTGGGTTCACATCAACTCTTGTATGAAATGTTTGGCTTAACCTGGGGAAATTTATTCTTACAGGATAGTTTAGGCCAAACGGTGTGTGAGAGACTTCATGCTGTAGCTCAGGTGGTAGAGCAGGTCATCTACTGATCGGAAGGTTGGTGGTTCGATTCCTGGCTTCCCCTAGTCTGCATGCCAAATATCCTTGGACAAGATACTAACTCTCCAATGCATCCATCGGAGTCTGAATGTGTGTGAATGTTAGCTATGAAGCACTTAGAAAAATGTGCTTGTGTGAATGGGTGAATGCACACGTTGTGTAAAGCGCTTTGAGTGCTCAGATGAGTAGAAAAGCGCTTTATAAGAACCAGTCCATTTACCATTTGAAAGGTTTTGTTGTTTGTGAAACTATGGCTGATTGGCTAAAACAGAGCTAACCCTAACTCGGGCAAACATAAAAAAGCAGCAAACAAACCAAAAGATTTAGGCAGTATTAGCTTTTTTATTGTTGTGAGTGAGACATTGAGCCTCGGTGAGATTACAGGTATGAATAAAGGGTAAATAAAAATGACTAAAGCAACATTGGTTCATTCTTGGTTTTAAACTTTTGTAACGATTCCTGGCCGCTTTGTGCATGAGTGTGAGTGACTTAATTTACATAACCAGCAGCATTGCGGCCTCTGTGTGCAGGTGGTTTAAGGAGGACGCCAGTCGCAGTGCTGCAGAGGACATACTCAAGTCCAAAACTGTCGGGGAGTTTCTGATCCGAGGGTGCCAAACCTCCCTGGGGGATTTCTCCATTTCTGTCAAGTGAGTAAAGCAATGGGAAGTCTTAAAGTTTGGCTCACAGCTATATTTATGCTGAAGCTAAATGCGTACTTTAGCGTGCCTACGTGCTGCTGATGTTCAGCATGTTTAACTATGCTTAGTCAACATCTGGTTTGACAGTTAAAGGGGAAGTAAATTGTAGAATATTACCGAGTCACTTATTCTGTTTGTTCAGCTCTTTGACAGCATGTTAGGCATATTAGTACGTCAGCGTCTTCAACCAGCATCAAACTGGATATCCGTTCTTTTAGTTCATAAAACAGTAAAGAAATATTTTTACATTTTTTTCGCGTATAGACCAGACGGGGCTAGATCCAGATCCAGAACCAAATGGTGCTGTTTTTCAAGAAGAACTCATCACATAACCTGATGTTTTAGCTTCTTTTTCTTTAAAAATGTAAACTGAACGTCTTTGAATTTGGATAAAATGAGACAATCGAAAACATCACTTTGGATTTCTGATTACCTTTCTGCTCTTCTTTGACATTTACTTGATTTTTAATGATTAATTCAAGAAAAAATTACTACTTGCACCATGTAATGTGTTATAAAAATTGTGCTATAAAAATCAATCACAAAGTTTTTCATTTGGCTCAGCAGTGAAAGTCTGCTGGTGTCTCATATTGACCGGTTTTATGTGTCATGTAAACGATGGGAAGATGCTAAAGTTTTGTTTCTGTTATGTTTCTACCAAGCGGCTGGCTCCAAGTGAGAGTCAATCTCCAAATACTGTTAAATGATAACTTAACAGTACACCTTCTAAATATGGTCTAAGAAACGAACATTGTAAAAACCGTAACTCAAAATAATATGTCCAGAAACCAGTGGGTGATGATGCTATGTCTATTTTATTAATAGTTTATGGTTTTAAGCTAAACTTCCAGCTCTGTGTGCTGTTTGAGTGTCACGTGAATGGACAGTGGTAGAGACCAGTTTCACTCTCATTCAAAAATGCCGAATCTTGGGTTTCAGTTGAAACCAAACTTCCTTTTTCCAACTTTGGTAACTAATAAACACCAAGATTTTGCAATGGATGGCACCAGCCACAACACCGAGAGTTTGTTTGACCACACGATCCTTAAAAACAGATGCGTATTCACTGTGTAAAGAAGATTTATAAAGGGACTTGCAAATACTTCGGATCTTAAAGTGTTACAGCGACTCCGTTAACCTATCCCACAACCCCCACTGCTCCTGGTAACTGTTTTGGTTTGAACCATAACCGGCTATACACTTTCAAAACTGTCTCTTTGGTCCAACTATAGTCACCATGAAACAGGCCAATCGGATTAATATAAAAGTTCGTTATATCTGCATTATTTCTCCCAGCCAGCAGAGGGAGACTCGTCTGTTTGCGAAAAGACGAGCTAATGAAAAAAATAACCATACTTGTCACTTGAACTGTAACTCCAGTGAACATGTTTTTGAGGAGTTCATGGTCTCAGTTGCTAGTTTCAGGTCTTTAATACTTAAGTCTTTTTTCAATACAATATGAGGTTAATTTTGTAGCTTAACCTCATAAATCAGAGTAACACACACAAATAAAACAGAGTATCCTTTAGAGCTGTGCTTTATGTGCATCCAACATAGACATAGCACCAAAAGTGTCAAAATGAAATAAATACATAAACAAACAGTTAATTAAAAGTGTAATTAATTAATTGTGGATTTATTTAGTCAAAATCTTATTCACTGTGGTTAATATGGTACTGCATGCTGTGCTGCATGAATTTATTTTATCTTTAACCGCAGCACCAAAGTCAGTGGGCGGGACTAAAGCTGCTGTAGTCAAAGCCTTGCTTTGCTTTTGGTCAGTGTTTGTTTCATACTAAGTATAAAGAGTTTGAGTTTTCATACTTGCTCGTTCCTGCGTGACAAGTACAGTCAGGACTGGAGGACAGCTCAGAGTGAGACGGCAGGTTGATAACATCTGACACTTGGCGACACTTGTGCACAGCTTCACTGAGTACTTTACTGCCTTTTCACGCCTCAGCCATAAAAGCCTGATGGCGTATTGTCGTCACCCTGCTGGGTGGGCGAGTAGCCAGCTAGGCGACATGGACACCAGGGTTTGTGAATGCGATAACTGGAGATTAAAGCGACCGATACCATCGGTGTATCTACTGAAACTCTTGGATGAGTTCGAATCTCAGTGACCTCGACCTCAAGGTGAGAGGTCAGAGGGAAAGTTTTCTGAAAATGTAAACACAGTTGATATTTGGATTAAGAATTAATTTAATTAATTCATTATGTATTAAAAAAAAAAAAATTTACAGTTTTAATGAAGTAATATTTGGTGATGTATTTATTTATTTCATTTTGGCACTTTTGAGGCTGCACAGTTATTGATGTGAGGCTGCTGTATAGTTTTTCCAGCATAAAATGACACAAAATCTATGTACTTCATTTATATCAGGGGTGGGGAACTCCAGGCCTCGAGGGCCGGAGTCCTGCAGGTTTTAGACGCGTCTTTGATGCAACACAGCTGATTTTAAATAGCTAAGCTACCTCCTCAACAGGTCTTGAAGTTCTCCAGAGGCCTGATAAGTAACTAATCATCTGATAAAGGTGTGTTGACCCAGGGTGATATCTAAAACCTGCAGGACACTGGCCCTCTGAGCTCTTTCCTTCTTCGCTGGAGGTTCTTATTTTTTATCACCAAAGTCAGCTGCAGAATAAACAAGTGAGGCAGAGGTGAAGTCAGTTTATCCTCTCGTGTCCGCTGTCTGTCAGACCACCAGCGCAGATTATTCCTTTTAGCGCTCTGATTACAGGACCGCCGGGACAGTGTGAAAGACCGTATGTTATTTATAACACCCGTGCAAAATATCTCCAGTCCTAAATGGTTTCAAGACTTGTGTATTTTAATTTTTCAGTAACCAGTAACAGGTGCTGTCTTTTAGTTTGTCCATGGGTTTTTAATGTATACAGTTGTGTTCAGAGGTTTACGTAAACTCGTGCTCGGGCATCAATGTCTTGGTGATTTGGGGCTTTTAATGATTTCTTTGAACTATTCGTTTTCCAGGTTGGAATAACTGTACCGGAAACATCTTTATTAACTGTAATAAATGTGATTTGGATGCACAAGTTTAAGTTTATTGTTGATTTTCTCCAATCCACACAGACTCAAAAGTATACTTACAGGGACATTCAGCCACACTAATGTTTGGTTTAATCTCATTTAGCAAGTTGCACCTCAACCAGACTCTTTTCGTAGCTTCTGGCATAATTATTTCTCGATATTTGTTCTTCGAAGAATTGAAAGAGTTTCTTCAAATTTGTTCCAAAACCAGTTTTAATGTGTGTTTGGGATCATTGTTCTCTTGGAGCACTCAATCTTGCCCACGTTTTAACTGTATAGTTAAGTTCATTATTACAACCATGTTGTGCAATGTACCATTGGCATTAAATTAGCACCAGAGCATGATGCTAACACCACCGTCCTCCACAGTTTGGAGAGTTTTCTTAGATTTGAAAGCCTCAGCTTTAGTCATCCAAACATAATTTGGAAAGAAACTGAAGTTTAGGGGACTTGCTGTAGATCTCTGTATGACCTCTATATAGTTGGGCGGT